ATAGTAGGATCAGATGTAGATTGTAGTAGGATCAGATGTAGATTGTAGTAGGATTATTTAGTGCGAGGTGAACAAAGACTTCGAAGTTTCATTGAGCTCTAACTTTTCCTTCAGATGTCAGCCATAAACAAAACAATGCTACCGACATTTAAAAGATTTTAAGTGGCCTGTTATCTCGTATAGCTACACGATCTATCAAAACGTTTATAAATTATTCCTATATTATCCATGAGTACGACATAAGTGGCTGAATTAGCACATAATAACCGTTAATCAATGTTCTAAGGCCCTATTTTTCACAGACAATGGATACGTTATCAATGAGGTACTTTTCTGTCGTCATAACTCATATTGTTGTTATATTCCACTGAATGACTCGGTTTCTATATGCATTGAAAAAAATCGCTTTCACTAATAACTATAAGTTACTTTCACCTGTTCTGTTCGGAATACTTAACGTATTTTCTTTTTACTTTTCACAAAATGCTCAAAGTTGTTTTTTTTAAATTTTTTTCTGCCAGAAAAATTATTCATTCGAATAAATCTCGTTAATATGAAAATCTGCCTAAAAATGTGTGAATTAACGTCAGATCAATCTGTAATTAACGTCAGATCACTCTGTAATTAAGGTGTGAATTAACGTCAGATCACTCTGTAATTAAGGTGTGAATTAACGTCAGATCACCCTGTAATTAAGGTGTGAATTAACGTCAGATCAATCTGTAATTAACGTCAGATCACTCTGTAATTAAGGTGTGAATTAACGTCAGATCACTCTGTAATTAAGGTGTGAATTAACGTCAGATCACTCTGTAATTAAGGTTCAGTTCGTATCAGTTTACGTTCAGTTGTAACTAGATAACTGATAACATTAATATAATACTCAGTTGTAGGTTTTATGTTACATTTAGTGTGTATAATACCTATATAATCCTGCAATGTTACATGTAGTGTGTATAATACCTATATAATCCTTCAATGTTACATGTAGTGTGTATAATACCTATATAAGCCATCATTTTTACATGTAACGTGTACAGTACGTATATAAGCCGTCATTGTTACATGTAGCGTGTACAGTATGTATATAAGCCATCATTGTTACATGTAGCGTGTACAGTGATACAATACTTAATAATAAGCCATCATCAGATTTTAGCCATTTAAGCTTATTATCTCAGTTACTATGTCAACAAGCTCCGCTTTTTAAACTTCTCTTTAATTGTTATAAACTTGAAAGTATACACTAAGTTTTGTTCAGTCTGAAGATCAGTTGTGTGATTTCTAGAACAAATGTACAGTTACTGTGGATACTGGAGGGTCAAAGACGTATATGTGCCTATATGATCATTAAACATACCCTACTTTCAGGATACTCTACATTGTCATAACACACAGTTTTAGGATACCTTACATTGTCATAACACACAGTTTTAGGATACTTTACATTGTCATAACGCATAGTTTTAGGATACCTTACATTGTTATAACACACAGTTTTAGGATACCTTACATTGTCATAACACACAGTTTTAGGATACTTTACATTGTCATAACACACAGTTTTAGGATACTTTACATTGTCATAACACACAGTTTCAGGATACTTTACATTGTCATAACACACAGTTTTAGGATACTTTACATTGTCATAACACACAGTTTTAGGATACCTTACATTGTCATAACACACAGTTTTAGGATACCTTACATTGTCATAACACACAGTTTTAGGATACTTTACATTGTCATAACACACAGTTTTAGGATACTTTACATTGTCATAACGCATAGTTTTAGGATA